CCTGCTGGCCCCTGCGGTGGTGATGATTGTGCCGTCCCCCTGCAGCGGAAGACCTTGAAGGCCCTGCGTGCACAGTGGGAGGCTGCTCTGCGCCGGGTGCTGCAGGAGACCAAGGCCAGTCTGGCCCACCAGGCGCATGAGGGCCGCCCCTCGCTCTTCCCTTTCCTGTGTCTGCTCAGCGAGCGGGAGCTGGTGCGGATGCTGCTGCAGGTGGGGTCGCTGGGGGGGCAGCATGGGCTCACAGCCACCTCCCCTACAGGTGGGCACTGCTCTGGGGCGGGGGTCGCTGGGGAGGGCGTGGGCTCACAGCTGCCTCCCCCAGGCCCTCTACGCCCTGCCTGCCCAGGGCGAGTCGCTTGTGGTGGTGGCCAAGGACCTGGGCCTGCGGGCCTTCAACAGGCACATGGTGCAGCAGAAGCGCCTCAACAACCAGGTGCAGGCGCTGGAGCGGCGGTACTCACAGTACCTGCACCTGCTGGCCTGCGACACCCAGGTGAGTCCCTGCGGGCCAGCCCTGAGCATGCTGCCCCAGATCCATTTTTCCATCCATGAAATGGGGATGAGCCCCTCCCACCAGCTGGACAGGCCAGGGCCCTGTGAGGCCCGACCCTCCAGCCCAGCTCTCCCTAACCCCACAGGTGGCCACGCCCTGCCTACCTCGGCAGTACTGGGAGTCGCTGGGGCCGCCCGAGGCCCCACCACAGCAACCTTGGCCGTTGCCTGTGCTTATGCAGCTGGGCAAGCAGCTGGCCGAGGTGCTGGTGCAGGCCGTCCACATGCCCCTCGGCCTCGCCGTGCCCCAGGGCTCCTGTAGGCCCATCCCTGTGCTGTACCACGTCTACTCCTTTCGCAGCTACCGCCAGGTGGGTGGGGCCCCGGGGCCCCGAAGACCTGCACCTGCCTCTGCCTGAGGAGGTGGAGCCAGAGGGAGCAGCCTGGGCGGTGCAGGGCCGGGGTCCTGGGGACAGCTGCGGGGTTGGGGACCTGGCTAGGGTCAGTAGCGCTGTGTGCCGTGCAGAAGCCTCCAAGGCAACGGGGCATCTGGCTCGCAGGACCTGCTCACAGATATCAGATCAGCCTTGGCAGCAGGCTGAGCCAGCAGCAGCTGACCAGGAGAGGCCCCTCAGTTGGGTCTGGGTCAACAGCAGGAAAGTGACATTTGTGACACTGAGGACCAGCCCTGACTACCTGCTTCTTTGCCCAGATTGGCATCCTGAAGCCACACCCAGCCTTCACACAGCTTCTGGTGGCCGCAGCGGAGCCCACGCTGACCTTCGAGACAGTGGATGTGCCCATGCTGTGCCCCCCACTGCCCTGGACCTCGCCGCACATTGGCGCCTTCCTTTTGAGTCCTACCAAGCTGATGCGAGCAGTGGAGGGCACTACACAGCACCAGCGCCTGCTTGAGCGCTGCCCACCCACCAATCTGCACGGAGCACTGGACACCCTCACCCAGCTGGGCAATTGTGCCTGGCGCGTCAACGGGCGTGTGCTGGACCTGGTGCTAGAGCTCTTTAGGGACAAGGGCTGCTCCCGCCTGGGTGTGCCGCCACCACCCTCAGAAGCACCCCGGCCTCGGGAAGGCCACCTACCCCCTGGTGCATCCCCTGCCCACAAGGCAGAGCTGCGACGGGAGCTGGCCGGCTGCCTGAAGGTGGCCCGCGAGATGCATAGCCTGCGTGTGGACGCGCTCTACCGCCTCTCGCTGGCTCAGCACCTGCGGCACCGCATCTTTTGGCTGCCCCACAACATGGACTTCCGGGGCCGCACCTACCCCTGCCCGCCCCATTTCAACCACCTGGGCAGTGACCTGGCGCGGGCCCTGCTGGAGTTTGCTGAGGGCCGCCCACTGGGCCCTCATGGCCTCACCTGGCTGAAGATCCACCTGGTCAACCTCACGGGGCTCCGGAAGCGGGACTCACTACAGGCCCGCCTGGCCTTCGCTGACAAGATGATGGATCACATACTGGACTCTGCCGACCAGCCCATGACGGTGAGGGGTTGCCCAGCACCACCACAGCCTCCTCGCTGTCCTCCTTCCCTAGCCCAAACCTGCCCATCCTGGGTCTGACCTGAGTCTGGCCTGACCTCCTACTCCTCTGTCCCCTGCAGGGTAGGAAGTGGTGGATGGAGTCTGAGGAGCCCTGGCAGACCCTGGCCTGCTGCATGGAAGTGGCGCAGGCTGTGCGGGCCCCAGACCCTGCTGCCTACATCTCCCACCTGCCCGTGCACCAGGTGAGTGATGCTGTGCCCCCCCCCCCCCGCCCCCTGCACTGGGGTGCACGCGGCCAGGGCCTAGTTCAGGGTGCTCCTCCCTGGCCTTGCACAGTGAGGTTTGTGAGCAAGGTGCCCCGGGGCCAAGCTGGCCTTGGTGTGTAGCTTCAGGACTGTGTCCCTCCCTCCCCAGGAGGGGTCACCCATCCTTTTGCTCCCCAGCTGTAGAAGTGGCTCTAGGGAATGGCCAGCTTAACGCCACCTCTGTGCCTCAGTCTCCTCCCTAGTGTGAAGGGGGTGATGACTGTCTCGGTGCTGGGACACTGAGGTCACACCATGAGCTGTGCTCTCTGGGGGACCTGCATGTGTTGCTGGGGTCTCAGCTCACGGACGCCCCCTGCAGGATGGCTCCTGTAATGGTCTGCAGCATTACGCCGCCTTGGGCCGCGACAGCGTGGGTGCCGCCTCTGTCAACCTGTTGCCCTCAGACCTGCCACAGGATGTGTACAGTGGGGTGGCTGCACAGGTAGGTGCCTAGGCCCCTGGCACTGCCCCACCCAGGATCTTGGGTGCGGCAGGTCACTGACCTGTGAGCACCTGGGCCGGGCAGGCCACTGCGGGGGTTGAGGCTGGACTCTGGGGCTCTCGGGGGTGTTGGGGCCCCACAGTTCGTGGGCTGCCTGAGTGGTGCTTATCTGTCCCTGCTGGCCCAGGTGGAGGTGTTCCGCAGGCAGGATGCTGCCCGGGGTGTGCGGGTGGCCCAGGTTCTCGAGGGCTTCATCAGCCGCAAAGTAGTGAAGCAGACGGTGATGACGGTGGTATACGGGGTCACCCGCTATGGTGGGCGCCTGCAGATTGAGAAGCGCCTCCGGGAGCTGGACAACTTCCCCCAGGTATGCAGGCTGCCTGTGGACGGGCCCTCCCCACCCGGACCCAGGAGCCAGAGGCCTTGCTTTCCTCTGCCCCCCGGGTCTCCCCATCTGAGGGGTGAGGCAAGGTGACCACAGCCCGCTTTGCCCCCAGGAGTTCGTGTGGGACGCCTCCCACTACCTGGTGCGGCAAGTGTTCAGTAGCCTGCAGGAGATGTTCTCAAGCACTCGGGCCATCCAGGTGTGTCCCCGCGCCCCCCCTGGCCAGCGCACATCCCTGAGGAGGTGCACTGGCCCTATCTGAGTGCCTGTGTCCCGCAGCGCTGGCTGACCGAGAGTGCCCGCCTCATCTCCCAGGCGGGCTGGGCAGTGGAGTGGGTCACACCCTTGGGCATCCCTGTCATCCAGCCCTATCACCATGACTCCAAGTTCCTGGTAGGTGGACTGCCGCCTCCCTGCCCACTCCAGCCCGGCCTGGACTTGGACAGTACTCACAGCCCCTCCCCTGCAGGTCAAAGGTGGGCTCCAGAGCATCACCTGCAGCAGCAGTCGGGACACCAGCCAGTGAGAGGGAGCAGGAGGGTGCGGGGGGGGATGGCGGTGCCCGGGTGGGCTCTGGCCAGGGTCTGGCCCCTGACCCCATCCACTCCCCTGTCCTCCAGGAAGCCCAACACACTTAAGCAGAAGAATGGCTTCCCACCCAACTTCATCCACTCTCTGGACTCCACGCACATGATGCTGACCGCGCTGCACTGCTACAGGTGGGCACAGTGGCCATACTGGGACAGCCTGTGGGGCAGTGGGGTGCACGTCTGGGATGTGGCGAGGGGGACCGTGGGCCACGCGGGAGGCAGGCAGAGGCCCAGGAGCAGGTGTGCACAGTCGTGCTACAGGGCCTCTGACATAAGGGGCCACGTAGACTGTGTCTCTACTCAGGTGACTGTGTGCACCATGGGGCATGCCCAGTCCCGGGGGACAGGCCTCTGGTGGTGTCAGCCACCCCGAGGGACTGAGGATGGGCCATGTGGGGAAACGCATCTTCCTGAGAAGCATCTCCACACCTGGAGGATGGCAGGGGTAGCTGGGCTGGCTTGCAGGGGAGGGCCATGGTGGGGTCAGGAGGAGAGGCTTCCCTGGAGGAGAGCGGTGGCTATGGTGTGTGGCAGGACTGGGCTCTGGCCTGGCCCGGCCCTGCTGGGCACCCTCCCCAGGAGCCCTCTGCACTGTGCAGGAAGGGACTGACCTTCGTCTCCGTCCACGACTGCTTCTGGACCCACGCAGCTGATGTCCCCGTCATGAATCAGGTGTGCCCCGTTCTAGTCCCCATGTGTGTCCCCACCCCCAGAGAGGATGGGGCCCAGGCCCTGGAACCTCACCCTCCATGTTGGTGCGGGACCCTCTGACTGGGGGCGGCCCCGGGAGCCGCTGACGCCTGGCCCCACAGGTGTGCAGGGAGCAGTTCGTCAGGCTGCACAGCCAGCCCATCCTTCAGGACCTGTCCCAGTTCCTGGTGAAGCGCTTCTGCTCCACCCCCAGGTGAGCCCCCGCCCCTTGAGCCCCCTCACCCCCAGGGCTGTCCAGCCTCACCCCACGCTGTCCTCAGCACCAGGCCTCAGAGTCTCTCCCAGCGCGTCCTGACCACCAAGCTGCTGGAGACGCTGCTGTCTGTGCCCAAGACAGGTACGTGGGGCGCCGTGGGGGTGGGCCCGGGGGCGGTGCCTCGGCACCGCCGGGGCCTCATTCCCCTCCCTCTGCAGGGGCCTTCGACCTGGAGCAGGTGAAGCACTCCACCTACTTCTTCAGCTGACGCAGGCCCACCCCGCCGTTCCGGCATCTGTCCACAGTGTAAATAAAGCTTGTCACCACCCAAGGGACCATCTGGGGACCAGTGCACCGCCAAGCAACCAGACACAGTGCTGGGCGCCAATGCTGTTGTTTATTGCGCGGAATGGGGAGTGGGGTTAATGGGGCGCGGGGGCCGTGGTGGGCGCTGCTCCTCGGCTCGTCGGTACATTCATCGCACGGCGGGGACCCCAGCCTTGGCCCCACGCCCAGTGCAGCCAGGACGCCTGCCCCTGGTGCCAGGTGCTGGGGGTGGGAACTGCTGTGCCCACTCCCGCAGGTCACCTCAGATGCACATGGACAGGAGCAGGCCAGTTATTGCATGAGCGCGATGGGGGCAGCGGGAAGCTGAAGGCCAAGTATTGCACTTAAAAACACTCCTCAGACGCGGCCACCTGGGAGGGCAGGGCCGGTGGGGCTCCACATCATCTTTGCGGCCAGCGGCCGGCCCCGTCCCCGTTTTACAGTTGGGGGAACTGAGGCACCGAGGTGAAGGGAGCCCCTCGCGGCCACCACCCAGGGTAGGGGCGATGGGGGTGGGCGCAGGGTGATGAGGGGGCAGCGGGGCTGGAGGGGCCGCGTGCTGCCCGCCACCCGTCGGACTAGCCTACCTACGTCCCTCTATGGCTTCTGCGCGGGTGGGCGGTCGGGCAACGGGAATGGCATGGCTTTGGTCTGAATGACGGCCCTGCCCGGCCCGTCTGGCCCGCAGGGCAGTGCGCTAGGGTCACAAATTGGATGAGAGGCGTGAGCGCGCAGAGTCCAGCGGGAGGCCGCTGGCCGCGCTGGGCGAGGCTGAGTCCCTGCGGTCTGGGCTGGGCCCCGCGGCCCGGGGGGTGGGTGCTGGCCCTAGCCTTGGCGTGGAGCTGCTGGCTGGGCGCACTGAGGTCGCGGGTCCGGGTCCAGGTGCTCCGTGGGGCAAGGAGGGCTGTGAGGCCGACAGTGGGCGTGACGCGCGGCTCAGGCGGCGTGCGGGCAGCACAGGCCCAGCGCGGGGGGCAGCAGGGGAGCTGGGAGCTCCGCTGTAGGGTGAGGTCCGCAGCGCCCGGGGGCTGGCGGGTGCGCCTGGGGGACTGGCGGCAGGGGCGGGCCCCGGTGAGGCTCCAGGGACAGCTGCGGTAGGCACCGGTGCCGGGGGAGCGCGGCGCAAGAGGCGCGGTGAGCCGAGGGCCAAGGGCCCCACAAGTGGGCGTGCCACTTGTGGGCAGAAGCTCATGGCCACTGCCTGCTGCAGTGTGGCGATGGCAGAGGTGACCTGCGGCGGCGGAGGCGGCGGGAAGAGGCCGACGCGCTGGCCCAGCTCTGCCTGCTGCACCATCTCGCGGTCGTACTTGACAATCTCCTGGATGATGGCGTTCTCCTGGTTGTTGAACACGCCCGAGCTGAGGTCGTGCTGTACCTTGTGTAGCAGGATCGAGTTCTTCTTTCCTGTGGGGAGCCAGGCATCAGCGCTGCAGGGTCCAGGAGGACCCAGCGCTCTGGACAGCCCGCGGTGTAAAGCACCTACTGTGTTGTGTTCTTGCTATGTATGTCTGGCACGAGCCAGGTGCCTCCTGAATTCAGCAAACATGGGTGCCTGCTGTGCATATTGAGCATCCTCGGAGTACCAGAGGTGTGCAGTGAGTACACTTGGGGCACCTACTGTGTGCAGCAAACGCACATAGGGTGCCTACTCTACACAAGTAGATATGGAATGCCTGGTGTATACAAGTGGTTGGCTATTGAGCACCAGTGCCTTGTACAGTCTGAGCAACTACTGTGTAAAGCAAATAGATATTGAAGGTCCACTGCATACAGTATACGTGGAGCACTTCTGGCCTACAGGAAGCAGATTTTGAGCGCCTGCTGTGTACAGGCTGTGTATTAAGCACCAGACACACTTTTTGGATACAGAAAATGTCAGGCCTCCTTCCCACTCGGGGTCTCTGTACCTGCCACATCCGCTCCAGGAACATACCTTTCCCCTTCTGGCCTGGCCATGCCTCCACCCTGGACACAGCATGGCTCCTCAGGGAAGCCCCCACATCCCCTCCTCAGTGTCACACTGCGGGGCTTGTGTAATTGGCCTCAGGCGGCCTCCGGGTCCACTCCTATGCCCTGGCACACACTATAGGCACTTGAACACCGAGCAGGTGAACTGCTCACTACAGCAAGCACCCCCTTCTCTTCCTTGCCAGGCAGGGTGGGTCAGCATGGTGGGGTCCCAAGGATCTGAGCCACCAGGCCAGGCCCCTCCCCGCCCCACCCGGCCAGCTCACCGATGCGGTCCAGGCGGTCGATGGCCACTGTCTCAAAGGCACGCCGCATCATGGGGTACTCCTCCAGCACCTCATTGAAGTTGTCCACACTCAGCGAATACAGGCGGCAGTAGGTGTCGGCCCGCACGCTGGCCGTGCGCCGGCCCCGTGTAAGCAGGCAGATCTCTGTGCAGGCAACAGGCCCTCAGCCGCTGGACAGCCTGCCCACTGCCCTTGCTGGGGCCACCCTGCCTGCCCTGTCGGGCCCCAAGCTCACCCCCGAAGTAGGAGCCATCAGACAGCTTCATCTCCTTGTTGCCCTTGGTGAGCACACTGACCACACCATGCTGGATGAAGTACATCTTCTTGCCCACAGTCCCCTCACGGATGATGTAGTCTCCCGGCTGGAAGACCTCGAACTTGAGCTTGGTCAGCATGGCTGTCACAAAGTTAGGGTCAGCATTGGCGAAGAGCGGCATGGAAGCCACCAGCTTGCGGCAGTTGAAGTTGACGATCTCCTGTAGGGCGGGGGGGCGGGGCTGAGCTGTGGCCTGGGACCAGAGTCTTACCTTGGCCAATGAACAGCCCCTCCCACACTGGCCAAGCGAACCCGGGGACAGGCCACTGGATGTGCAGAAGCAATCAGGAACAATACACAAGGACCGTCTCTACAGGTCACCCCAGAGAGTGGAGGAAAGGGCAGGAGGACAGCCTCAGGGAGGCTGTTCTGCACAGCAAAAAGGCACCGCAAGCCAAGGTGGTGAGAGACGCACAGACGTGAGGAGGGCTGTCACAGGGCCCGTGCCCTCCATGCACAGAGGCCTCCTCAGAAGGTGGGGGGGACAGGAGACAGAACACACAGAAGCCCCTGGGGCATGCGTGGCCCAGGCCAGCAAACCCAGGTGGCAGGCGCTCTGAGGGGCACCTTGCCACAGTGCCAGAGCTGTTGAGACCCAGCAGCCAGCTGCCGCCCAGGTCCCCACAGGGAGGCAGAGGCCACTGTGGCACAGCGGGACGAAGGTGTGTGAGGGGAGCCAGCCCCGGGTCCATGCCCGTGTGCTGAAGAGGAAGTGGAAGGCTGGGCCAGAGGGACCAGCAGCACTCGGGCAGCTGGCATGGTCTTGAGTGGCTCCAGAGCTGTGTGGACACCTGACCAGGCTGCCCAGGGCGGGGGTGGCCAGCGACGGCCACCACCCAGGGTCCCGTGGGCTGGGGAGTGCTCTGAGTTAGACTCGTGTTGGCTGTGTAGCCCCCTGTGAGAACCTCTGTGGTCTGCAGGTTCCGTCCTGCAGGGAATGAGGGTGATGATGACGACCAGCGGACACGACGGTACGCCTCCCGGGAGGTCCTGCACCCCGGCCCCTTCCAGCTCCTCACCCCTCAGGGCCTCTGCCCTGTGTGCTGTCCAGCCCGGCTGGCCTCACCTCCCGTAGGGGGCTGTTGAGTTCCCCCAGGATGCTGTCCTCATCGAACATCTTGCCTTGGTAGCGGTGCTCGTAGTAGTCGTGGATCTTCTGGCGGAAGTCGGCGGGCAGCTTGTGGAAGGACATGTACTGCTCCACCTGCTTGTACTGCAGTGCAAAGGGCAGTCAGCAGCTGCCGGCCAGCACAGGCCCCACCGGCCCTGGGACGCGCCAGCCCCCTCAGCCTGGGGGCTGCGGACCCGGAGCAACACTGATGTATGTTTCTACATTCAGCTTGCGTTTCTGGTGTCCTGAAGCATCAGTGTCAAGTCGGACCCCAGGAGGACCCTCAGGGCTGCCAGGCAATGGAGTACGGGAGGCGAGAGGGGAGGTCAGACGCTCAGCAAGGCTGTACAGCCTCAGTGCGCCCAGGCACGCTGGGCACACACTCAGCTGGACACTCGCCTGCTGCTGTCTGGGTCTGAACTCACTGAGCAGGCCGGGCCTGTCTGGCAGCCCAGCCCCTGAGACAGGGCCCCCAGCGAACTCCTGATCCCAGGTGCCCATGCCTTGGGCCTTCCCTGCCAGCCCTGGCTTCCCTGTCTTGCTCTTTCCAGGACCCACAATGTCAGCCTCCCCCACACAGGGCACAGGGTGCAGGTGCCAGGCCCTGCTGTCCCCAAGACGGTGCCTCTAGGTGCACTTCCACCCCAACCCTGCCCGGCCACAGCTGCTCTGAGCTCAGCGGAACCCGTGACGGCAGGCGGGTGGCGGCACCAGCTCATGTTTGGGTGCAAGGCCCATAGCTTCCGGACAGCCGTGGTGCCTGGCACAGGGCCCAGCCGATCTGGCTGTCCCGGCTGGCACTGCTGGGGGCCCGCGGCTCTCAGCCAGAGCCAGTCATCAGCCCAGGACAGCAGACACCTCGTGGAGTGCAGCCTCGGAGGGGAGCAGCCACAGTGGAAGGCACAGCCCCAGGCCAGGTGGGCTGCACTGGGGCCCCAGCCCACTGTTCCTCAACCCTCCCTCCCCTGCTGGCCAGAGGGGAGTGGCCAGCAGCCTCGCCAGCCCTGAGGCCTGGTGTGCAGTGTCCCCAGTCACCAAGCCTCTGGGTGCCCCACCCAGCCCCAGTCCTGATGCCAGGGACTAGCCCTTCCCAGCTCCGAGCCCCTGGGCTCCTACCTCCCCAGTCACAGTGGGTGTAATGGGTCCACAATGCCCCCTGGCCTCCCCCTGGGGCCCTCTGCACAGAGCGAGAGGAGGGCACCCCCCATCTGCCTCTTCAGGCTCCCGGGGTAGGGCTGTCCTCCCCCCTCAGACCTTCTCCTGGTACTGGCGCCTCGAAGAGTCCAGCGACTGGATGAGGGCAGTGGCGTGGCCGATGAACATGGCATAGCAGGTGGCACCCACAATCATGCTCAGCATGGTCAGCCAGATGTCCGTCATGCTCTCGGGTGCCTGCCGCCCATACCCGATGCAGAGCATGTGGCTCATGGCCTTGAAGAGCGCGAAGGAATACAGCTCGCTCCAGGAGTGGTTCTGCAAGACCAGGGTGGGCGGTTGGGGCAGCAGCACCCTGGGGAGCCCTAAGCCTCCTCCCTCCTGTGGGCACTCAGGTGGTGAGCTCCCCGTGTTCAGACGTAATCAAGAGAAGGAGACCCAGGCAGGGGACAGGTGTGTCCATGTGTCAAGGGCCTGCTGCCCCTCCTGATTCACTCCCAGAGAAACTAAGTCCCGGGGCAGCGAGACTGACCAGCACGTCTGAGAGGCCAGGAGAACATGCAAGTTCCAGGGGACAGGAGAGCTGGGGACACTGGGGCCAGAAGGGCAGAGGGCCCACTCCTGGGTGTCCTTAGTTGACCAGGCTGGGGAAGGGGGGCTGTGGGCCTGTCCAGGAAATGGAACCGCCTGTGCAGGCAGCAATTAGACAATGGGCTCCTCAGCCCAGGCTGCTGTGCCAGGCGCCGGGGAGGGGCGCCTGTGGGCTCTCCCTCTGTGTCCCTTGACCCCATCACGCCAACTGTCCATGCCCCACTGCTCTGCGTCCGGCCTGCAGCATGCCAGGCCTGTAGGTCTAGGTGCCCCTGGCCAGGGCAGGAGCCAGGCTGGCCGGGCGTCACCCTGCTTTTGCACCTACCAGGTGCCCTGGTAACAGTCATTACCAGGCCAGCAGGCAGCAGGCACCTTGGCAGTTCCGCCCCCCACGTGCGGGGCTCACCACCATGTTGTTGATGGACACCCAGCAGTTGCTGGGGAAGTCCTGCAGCATGGGCACCAGGAACTGCAGGCAGCCGTCCCAGTGGCACAGCAGCAGCATCATGCTGATGAGGTTGCAGATGCGCATCACCGCACTGGCCAGGTCATAGGTCATGTGGAAGATCTGTCGAGAGTGCAGCCCTGAGCATCTGTAGACCCTCCCCAGGGACACTGGAGGCCCCCCCGAAACCAACTCCCAGACCCACCCGCCTTCCTGGCCCCCGAGCTCCCGCAGTGACCAAGATGGCAGGAGCGCAGAGGCAGGGCTGGGGCAGGGGGTCCAGGCGTGGGAGCAGGGAGCTGGCTGTGTCTCTGGGCCTCTGGCAGAGGATGTGGATATCTCCCGGGAGAGGGTGGAAAGGCAGGGCGTGGGAACAGACAGGTGGCCCGCTGGTGGCCTCTTCCCTTCTGTCCTTATGGCGGCAGGGGCAGCAGGGAGTGCTCTGTGGTGGACCCAGGAGCCTCCTCCCACCTGGACCTGAATCCTGCAGCCATAAGGACCGAGGGGGAAGAGGCCGCCCCCTCTCAGTCCCTGGAGGACTGTCTTGATGCTCCCTGCCCCAGGCCTCCCTCCTCTCCTCCCTGAACCCCCACAGCCCAGCCCGGAGCCTCCCATCGTGGCCCCGCACCCCGCAGCCCCGCAGCTTTAGCGGCCCGCCACCAAATGCCTGGCCTCCGGATCCTCTTGGCCTCGGCCCCGCCTCCATGCCCCTGGCCCCGCCCCCAGACCTCAGGGGCCCGCCCCCTGGAGCCCCCGGGGGTCCTCACCTCCTCCCACTGGTGGATGTAACGGATGAGCCGCGACAGGCGCAGCAGCCGCAGGAGGCTGAGGATCTTGGTGAAGCGCACGATGCGCAGGGCGCGTGCCGTCTTGTAGACCTCGGAGTCGATGCCTTTCTCCACGATGAGGAAGATGTAGTCCACCGGGATGGACGACACGAAGTCCACCACGAACCACGTGCGCAGGTACTTCTTCTTGATCTTCTCGGGGTCCAGGATGATCTCCGTGTTGTCCTCAATCACGATGCCCGTGCGGAAGTTGAGCACCAGGTCCATGAGGAAGAAGGTGTCTGAGACCACGTTGAAGACGATCCACGGGGCAGTGGTCTCGTCCTTGAAGAAGGTGATGCCCACGGGGATGATGATCAGGTTTCCCACCATGAACAGCAGCATGGTGAAGTCCCAGTAGAACCTGGGGGCGAGATGGTCGCTCAGACCAACGCCCATCGTCCAGCTCCCCGCGGCTCGGGGAAGCCTCCCTGCCCGGAGTCCCCCTCGGTGGCCTGCTCTGCCCTCCCCTTGAGGGTGCAGACGCGAAGCCCAAGAGCCGTCAGAGTAGACTAGATGTTTCACGAGATCAAAAGGGGACAATGCCTGGCCCAAGACTGGCCTTCAAGAACCATCAGGGACAGGGGAAGACGCACAGGTGGCCACCACAGCGGGGAGGGGGCCCTGGGCCTGTGGGAGGGCAGAGGGGAGCCGGGCCTGGGCCTGGAGTGCAGCTGACACCCGCCCACCTGGGCCTCCAGGCCGCACCCTGGGGGCGGGGCGGGGGCGGGGCTAGAGGAAGGCGGGCCAGGCAGCACCTGGACCTTCCTTTAATATAATAACTGCACATGCAAAGGCAGCCACAGGTCACTCCCGCCCTCCAGCCCCCCAGGCCAGATGCACATCCCAAGGTCAGTTCCAAGGTAGCTCCCGAGAAGCACTGGCAGAAATAGGCCTCTGCACTCAGGGACACCCACTGATGGCCAGGCATGGAGCTGAAAGTGAAGTGTCCCCTAACAGGGACACAGGCCCTCAGCTGTTGAGAAGATGCAAATCAAAACCTATTTAAGGGAGAACTATTTGGTGGCTCCTCAAAAAAGCCAAGCACAGGGTCACCACACAACGCAGAGTCCACTTGGCATACCCTGAAGGAGGAAGCGAGGGTTCTACAGTGGCCTGACTCCACAGCCAAGGACAGTGGAGCAGGACAGTCCAAGTGTGCTGTGCGTCCAGGGGTGACAGGAAAACACAGCAGGCCATTCACACAGGAACAAGGCCACAGTCTGTGACCCAGTGACAGGAGACATCCAACAGCAGTCTCGAGAGGGGATGCGGACTCATGGGAGCTTCCCTCCTGCTCACGGCTGAGTGAGACGATCTGACCCTGACCGAGCAGGTAGCTCTAAAACAGCACACCACGTGTGCAGCCATGCTGTCACCATGCTGTCACCCCAGCAACTCCGGACGGACGGACGGACGGACGGAGGCTGAGGCAAGAGGGGCACAGTGTTGTTTGTTTGTTGTTGCCTGGGGATGGGACCCAGGCCCTTGTGCATGCAAGGCAAGCACTGTTCCAACTTAGCTGTATCCCCAGCCCTTTTTTAAAAAAGGATTATTGAGAGACAGGGTCTCACTGAGTCGCTTAGGACCTTGCTAACTTGCTGAGGCTGGATCTGAACCCCAAGTTCAACCATCAGTCCCAACATTGTGAGAGGGCGGGGGGAGAGCAACCCCAGAAGCCTGGGGGTGTGGGGGGTGAGTGGAGCCTGAGACTGGGGTCTGAGCCCATAAGGCACCCCACGTAGATCAGGCAAAGGAGGGACTCAGATATTCAGCTGAGGGGCTGGACACACCTAGCGTGAGGCCCTGGGTTCCATCTGCAGCACCACCAAAAAAAAAAAAAATGTTTGGGGACCCTTCCCCCAGACTGTGCCGGCCTCTCTCCACTCTCTCCAGGCAGGGGCTTGTGGGGCTGTCCCGGGCACCCAGGGGGCCAGCCCCTGCCGGGCTGCTGCTGCTGGTGCAGACCCATGAGCCTGCAGCTCCGGGCCCTGTGGTCAGCGCTTTGTCTGCACAGCACCTGAGGGCACAGCTGTCATCGCCACGCCTGCCCGGTGGCCCTGAGCTCCACTTCGGGGAACTGACCTCAAGGAAATCATCCAAATGGGAGAGGAAAAAATCTAGGAAGTGATTTGTACTGAGATGTTCACGACAGCTCAGTCTGTGAAAGCCAAGGGTGGACAGGACCCAGCACTGTGGCAGCTGGAGCAGCCCAGTGAGCCCTGCCCAAGGACTCTGGGATGGATGGCTCCAGTCCCCAGGACCTCAGCCACGTGGAGAGGGGCTGGGCCCACGGGCCCCACACACTGCTGTGGTGGTCATGGGTCCGCAAGAGGGTGCAGGGGGCTGACACGAGTGGGATGGAGAGGGCACCTGCAACTTCAAGGTCAAAGTCAAATGACTCCTCCTTCTGGACTAGACAGTGCATATGGGCTCAGACCCCAATTTGGTGCAGTGCTCACCCATAGGGTCCCAGGGTCCCAGCACCAAGCAGGACTGAGGGGCCCCACCTGCCTGCTGCTCCCCACCCTTCGGCCCCCAGAGGCCACTGTGTGGCTCGCCCGCCCTGGACCGAGAGCTGCCTGCCTTTGGATCCAGACCAGCAAGAGAAAGAGCCAAGAGCAGAGCCAAGACAAGGCCAAGGTCTAGGAGCCACCAGAGGGGCCTGGAAACAGTCCCCATGGCCCTGGGACACTGGGCACCACGGTGGCACCTCTCATAAACTCTCTCCACTTTCTCACTGACAGCTGGGCCTGCTCAGCCAGGTGACGGGGTATAGCACCCAACCTAGGGCTGTGCCCTGTCCCTAGCCCCTGGGGTCACCTGGTGTGACCGTCTTCCCAGGCAGGGCGGCATCCCTGGGTTATAGGAGTTTGGAGCAGAGGATGTGGGACTAGAAGAGGCTGAAGGAAGGGGAAGGCAGGGGGCCATCCCCATGGCCCCTTGTGGGGGCCTGCCTAGGACGGCCAGGATGCCCCCCAAGGGCCCAGACCCCAACCCTGGTGCTCACCAGCTGGTTGGCTTCCCAGAGAAGGCGTCAGAAGGGGAACCTGAGTTCAGGAGTGTCCCTCACCAAGGGGAAACTGAGCTGGGGCAGAGGGTGCCCGAGGCCTGCAGGGTGTCCACTACAGCCCAACAGCCCACCCTGGCCTGGCTCACCCTGGGCAGGGAGGTCTGGGGACCCCACCTGCCTCTTAGCCTGTGTAGGGCTCCTGCTCCAGAAAGCAGGGCCCAAGAGGGAGGGACCTGGGTTGTGGGATCCCCATGGGTCCCCTCCCCTCTGGGGTTCTGCTGCCTTCTGTGGCCCTCGCCTGGAGACACAGTCAGTGCTGGCTTCCCAGGGCCCTCCTTCCTGACCAGGGCATTCACTGACCAGGGCCAGTCAGCTCTCCAGGGATTCTCAGCAAGAACCTGAATGACCACAGTTAAACCCTGTTTCAAAAATCAGGGAGCTGGGCCCAGAGACTCACACCTGTAACCCTAGTGCTCAGGAGGCTGAGGCAGGAGGCTCTGAAGTTCAAGACCAGTCTCAGCAACTTAGGGAGGCCCTAAGCCACTTAAATCCTGTCTCAAAATAAAAAAATAAAAGAGGCTGGGAATGTAACTCAGTGATAAAGGACCCCTGGGTCTATTCCCCAGTACCACAAAAAAAAAGAAAACACAAAAAGCAGCAAAATCGAAGACATGTAACATTTGTCTTCAACTCTTAGAAATATTCCTTAAAATCGTTTCTCCCTATTTAAGTTCAAGATTGTTCTAATTCAATTGCTTTAAGTTTTTATGATTATCTATTGATATTAAGAATGGTGGGCTGGGGTTGGGGCTCAGCAGCAGAGCACTGGCCGGGCAGGCGTGAGGCCCTGGGTTCAATGCTCAACACCGCATAAAATAAATGATAAAGTTTTTCTTTTAATATATTTATTTTTTAGTTTTAGGTGGACACAATATCTTTATTTTATTTGTATGTGGTGCTGAGGATCGAACCCAGTGCCTCACGCATGCTAGGTGAGCGCTCTACCACTTGAGCCACATCCCCAGCCCCATGAATAAAGTTTAAAAAAATTAAAAATTTTTTTAAAAATGTGGTACTGGATATAAAAAGTCCGCGGGGCTCCATGGTACTTGCCTATAATTCCAGCACAAGGTAGAGGATCGCCAGCACAAGGCCAGCCTCAGCAATCGAGCGAGACCCTGTCTCAAAATAAATGAGAAGGGCAGGGGGTGCAACTCGGCGGTAAAGCGCCCAGTGCCAAAAATAAATAAATAAATAAAAGCCACCCCCAGCAAATACAGCCGCGGAGGAGGCCCGGCCGCTGCCCTGCCCAGCCGCCGGGTCCCAGGCCCACCCGCGCCCGCTGGCCGCCGGCCTGGGCTCAGCTTCCCGTGATCACGCTCCGCCCTCCACAGTCACAATGGGAAACTGAGGTCCCTCAGCGGAGCGGTGGGAGGGCTCTGCCAGCACATCTGCAGCCCCCGCTGGAGCAGGGGCCCTGGAAGCCTGGCCGCTGAAACCCTGAGGCTTGAGGTCAGGGCTGGGTGGACCGGCGAGGCTGAAGCACCCTAGTCTGTTTCCCCAGTGTCTATACATGTGGTCAGAAGTGGTGCCCAGACAGAGAAGGGCAGGTGCAAAGGCCCTGAGGCCATCATGGGGTCCTGGCACAGGAGGCAAGAGGTTTGAATGACTGGGAAGGACCAGGCAGGAGCTGTCAGCCAAAGGCCAGGCAAGGCAAGCAGTGGGAGGAGAGGGACCGGGCTGCTGGCAGCAGGTGGGCTGACTTTCTGGGGCTGACCAGCAGGTGGGCTGACCGGCAGGTGTGTTAAGGGGGATGGTGCAGGCTCTGGCCTGAGCCTGGGCTTGGAGGAAGGGCCTCGGCGGCGTTCCCCTGGGGTCCCAGCCAGGCACTGAAGCAGCCACCCGACTCCTGGCCACAGCTTCTCCTTCCTCACCAGAGGCGGCCTGGGCCCAGTGCCCCAGTGGGGGCTGCTGCCCACCTGGGCATGGGACCCCCACCCCACCCTGCTCACCACTGGGCCATGTGGGTTTAGGGTGCAGGTGTTCATCTTCCAGGACTCGCAGAGCAAGAGGCACCAGACCTGACCTGCTGACCCACTGGCTATGGTGGGGGGATGGCTCATGCTCTGGGGGACCCCAGGGGAAGAAGGCAGCAGGTCTTGGCTTGGCCTGAAGCCCCCCCAGGGCCTCCCCTCAGCCAGTCCTTCCAGGAGCATCTGGAGCACAGAGCTGAAGACCTGAGGGGCAGCAGGAGTGGCCGCAGTTAGACCTCCGAGGCACTTACAGTTTGGGAGTCAGAGGGAAGTGGAAAGGGAGTCACACCTGGACCACTGTTCTCTAGGGGCAAGTGGACACCCCCAGGCCACAGCTCCTGGGGACAAACTTCCACCTGTCCTCCAGGCTGCCTCTCGCCCAGAGACTGTCACAGAAGAGCAGGGAGGGAAATGTCCCCCGGGCCAGTCCCGGTGCCGCCTGCTGCCCTGCCCCTCAGAGGTCCGTGTGCCCTCTCTTCTGCTTGCCACTCTGTGCACTTGGGAACCAGGTGCAGGTGAAGGGCAGGGGTGAACCGCAGTCCTCAAAGGCTCTCCCTGTCACCTTGGAGGAGGGGCTGAGCCCGACGCGGCCCCAGTGTGGTGTGACAGAGGGAAATGAGACCTCCCCTCCCGACGCCCCTCCAACTGCTTCCCCTCAGAAGCCCCCAGACATCTCTGGGGCATCTGTGCTGGGCACCAGGTCTACACTGCTGGATGCTGGCCCTGGGCTCTCACAGGGTGGCCCTGTCCAGCAGTGAGCCTCCAGATCTGCTGGTGTCTGCCTGGCGTCCATGTTCTTTGCTAACATGTCCTAGGTGCCCACTCAGTGCCAGCCCCTGACATGACAGGCTGGGGCCTGGAGGGAGCCCACTCGGCAGGGGGCTGCTGCTCCCCAGAGCGCAGGGCACCAGGCTGTGAGGTTGGACTGTGGCCGTCAGAGCCCCATGCCTCCTCCTACACTTGGAGTGATGGAGGCCGGGAGGCCAGAGGGGACCCCAGGGACAGCTCACGCTGGGCTGCCAGCTCATGGCCTGCCCCGGCCCCAGGTCCTACCTCCCTAGGTGGGCACCTTCCCCTCCCAGCGTAGGCAGAGGGCTGCTCCGGCTCTTCACCACACTGACTGCCATCTCGGGGCTGGGGACAGACCCATCAGGGCCCCAAGTCAAGCTGGGAAGCGGAGGAAGTGAGAGGTAGGGAGCCTGGGCAGTGAACGTGGCCCCTGCCCACGCTGTTCCTAGGTATGCCCACCAGCCACCCAGGTGCTCCTGAGGTCCACAGCAATCTCCCTGGGGCCTGTGGACTTCCTCGTCTGACCTCGGTAACATGGACATCACTAAACGGACACTGGCAGGTCCTCCATCAGGGCGCAGGCAGCTGTTCTGGGCGAGGTGCCCAGTGTCAGTCCCCAGGTTGAATCAGAAGGGCCTGGAAGGGGCACAGGTCCCCAGAGAGTGGAAATCAGGCGGTGCCCATAGGTGCTCCCAGCTTTAGTCCTGCGCTGATGCGACCCTTAGAGTCCCAACAGCAGGCCAGGCTCCACCTTGCTTGCGCCTCAGGGACCCCCCACCCGGTCACTGTTCACTGGCCTGTGAACCTCTCCCTAGTCCAGAGCAGAGCAGGCCAGGCCTGCCCAGGGTCCTGCAAGCAACTGTACCCTCAGTGGACTCGTGGGGGCAGCCCAACTCCTCCAGCAAACTTCCTCCATTTCCAAATTCTCCTCACCAGGGTCAGCCTGGAGACCACTGGTCAGCAGGCCACGGGGTGCCAGTGGTGCCGAGGCCGAGGAACCTGGGCAGCGGGTCCCTGCAGCCCTCTCTCCCACCTGCTGTGCCCCCAGTGCTTCTGTCTGGCATAAGTCCTTGGTCACAGTGGGGCCAGGCAGACCGGTGGCCCTTACGGGAGGCAGCAACGCCGTCCTGTGTCGCTGTCCCATTTTGCAGGTAAGAACCATGAGGAGTCCTTGGTCCAAACTCTCCGGGCCTGGGCAGCGAGCAGCATGCCAGCATTCCCTGCATGGAGGCTGGAGGGTCCCAGCCCCCGCCCCCAAGCCCAGGCTGAGGACCCTCACAGCTCCGCAAGATCTCTTTCTTCCAGTCTCTGACAACTGGAGAAACAGAGCTAGAGTCACACAAGTCGGGAGCAGCCGTTGGAGGTTTGGAGGGGACCGGGAAAGGGAGAGCTCCACAGCCCTTTCCGCCTAGCTCTGGGGTCCCAGGAGTAAATGGAGAACCCCAGTCCTGACGGAGGAGAGACGAAAATGGGAGCTCAGGCAGCTCCCGGGCCAGGCGCTGTCCGCGGTGCTGACGCCTCTGGCCAGCGAGCCTGCGATGGTAGGTCGATGGTAGGTCGCTCAGGTCTACACCTCTACCACCGTACTCTCGCCCCACCCAAGAACGCACTCCCGCACACCGTGCACATCGTCACCACAACATCCACCCTAACACAGGTCTCCGTGACCACCAGACACACCCCTGGGGACACGCCTCCCCTAGATCACCAGACACACGCCCCCAGGACCCCCGCCCCGTCACTGTTCATGTTCACACTCGCGCGACCTGCAGTGACACGCACTGTCCACTCTCTCCGGCCACACAAAGCACGCTCAGGAAAGACTGCAAGCACACGGGGCCGTGGCCCTGCTCTAAGGCTCTCCACGCATTAACTGGTTCAATCCAAGCCACCATCTAGGTACCCACAGACACAGGGGAACACCGTGCAGGGGGTCGGCGGGATACGCAACCTGCGGACCCTCACCCGTTTTGCGCCCCCTTCCAGGCCACCCAGACACGCCCGTCCAGCGGCTCAGGTGGAGACGGTAGGAGCCCTCCGTGACCGTCTCACCCCTTCCCAGCAGGTCTCGCCCGGGCGCGTCCTTCCCGGGCGCCCTTCCCTCCCTCCTTCCTCCCTCTCCACTGCCTCATCCGCGCCCACGTTCCCCTCTATTCGTCCTCTCCGCCCCTCGGCGCTTAGACCCTGGCCTGTGGCCCGCTGCCTGGGCCATCAAACCTGCCGCAAGGCCGTGCGGGGGATGTCAGGGCGCGTGGGAGAGGGCGCGCCGGGGTCACTGGGGAGCCCACGCACGCCCCTCAGGCGCCCCCAGGGCGGAGCCTCTCGCTCCGCGGTCACTCTGGGGCGGGCCCCAGGCACGCCCGAAGTCACCGAGGGCCCCCCTCCGAGGTCACCGGCCGAACGCGCCGCCCCGCCCTCCCGGGCGCTCCAAGGACGGCCCCCGCGTGCGCGGCTCTTCGGGCCCCTCGGCGACGGCCGGCTCCTCCCGAAGGCGGTACCTGAAGTCACTGTACGGGTGGATGATCCAGGCCCCCGCCGATTTCACGCGCTCCTGCTCGCGCTCCACCGCCTTCTGGCTGCCGAACATCCGCAGCGAGAACTTGTTGACGCCGGGCTGCAGGAGCGCGCCGAACTGGCGCTGCAGGAAGCTGGCCTGGCTGCCGCGAGGTTCCCCTGCCGGGCCCGCCTCCTCGCTGCCTGCCTCGTCCGCCGGCCCCGCCGCGCCCGGCGCCGCCGCGGGCCCCGAGGCCGCCCCGCGGCACGAGAACGACACCTTGGGGCCGCGCGCTGGGCCCTCGGGACCCGCGGGGCTGCACTGCGGATCGCCGCGCCCGCACTCGCCGTTTGGGCTGCCCTTGGCGGCGCCGGGGGTACCCGGGCGCCCGCAAGAGCTATCGCGGCTGCGGAGCCGGGCGCGCGGGCCGCCCTCGT